ACTCCAATAAAGTGATTAAATAAAATGTGTAACTAATCAAGTGAATCTCTCATAATTTTATGTCAAACATACAAATGTATTGATGCTCTTCGGGTGAGAGACACCGATTCAAACATGGATGGACTAGATTTACTCCAATAAGGTGTTTGACATAAAATTATGAGAGATTCACTTGATTAGTTACACATTTTATTTAATTAAGAAACAGATGGAGAAAATAAGGAGATCAACAAAACAACTGGGTCTGCATCTTGACACATCTGTAAAACTAGATCTACTTCCACAGGGTCCCCAAAAGTATTCTGTTTCAAGAGTAAATAAAACCAAAATTAAGAGTAACATATATTTTTATTACTTGATTTTGAAGTTCATATGTCATATTGTGTTGTAGCCTACAGAGTGAAAATTATTCTCGTGAATGGTGACAGACGTCAGGACAGTACAAATTGTAACGTTAAGCATCCCTTATGTGACATCATTTTGGTGTTTACTTGCATACAATACACTGCTGTATAGTGATGCAATTATTTAAAACAGATGACCCTTCAAGGTGGCCTTTGGCCTCATTTCGAGGAAATTATTATAAGCTTTTAAACAAATAACACCACTTATTCTTCTTAATTACAGGCAAACAAATTATGAAACAGAAGAATACATTAAATATGTTTATGCTTCATGTACTGGAAAAAAACAATTAAGTTTATTAAAACAGTCAGAAGTAAAAAAAAGAACATTAATTTGAAATGGCCAAGTACCTCTGTCTGTAGCAAATAAAATTTATATAAAAATAATTACATTAGAAATTCAACATGCTTACTTTTTAAAATCTAAGTAATGATTTCCTCTTTGTGACATTTAGAAGGTACTTAAAATTTCTTAATATGTTGTCAAATGCAAAATTTGGTTCATTTTTTCTTGCTAATGGTCAAACACAATATTCTAACATATACTGATTTGGTTTCTTTCTACACTTGTGGTGCACTCAGTGTAAAAGATGCCACCTAGAGATTGATACAAAACATGCTACATGCAAGATTGTGCTTTATGTTTTTGTGAAGGATTCAATACTACTTTGTGACCCACTGACTGAGCAAGATTACACCCCATGTAGGTTCTGTTGGATTAGTTTCTAAGGACAATATGTACTGTTTTATACACAATCCAATATCAAGTAAAGTTGTCCAGTGGTCTACTATATGGTAGAAAACATCAACCTTTGATTAAATCTGTACATGTATTGCTGTTACCAAAGGTGACACTAACAACTGCTGCTCATCTGCTTGAAATCTGTATGCACCAATGGATGACTGTGTTTATACAAATCACACTGACCAACAACATGCTGTTCTTCTATGTTGTGTTCAAAGATATCTTACATTTGTCATGGGAAAAATGGAAACCTTAGACCTGGTGTATAATATGTCTGAGATTGCTTGCTTTTTCAATTATCATGTGTGTGTGTGTGTGTTTATTTTAGGGTATGTCTTGAATGACATTCCTTTGTTTATTGGGCCAACTATTAGAATAATGATGTCATGCTTAATCACGCGACTGACCTGTTTTCTTTTCAAAACATAAATTTACCACACCTATATTTTGTGAAATATCCCTAATTATGCTGTTTGTTGTTGCTTGAACCATCATTTTTTAAAAACAGATCTGTCATGTGTTTTTCTGTTTACCTTAACTTTTACTTACCAGTGACTGCTCCAGCATGTCTGAGGCCAGCAGCTACAGCCAGTACACATTCTGTACTAAGCCTCTGTAAGAAGGAAGCAATTCCTAATATTTTGTGCAAACATACAACTGACACTTGCAGAAGTTAGAAGTTTAATGCAAGAAGAATGAAACATGGTTCACATTCCAAAGACTCTTAACTCTTTCAACACGAGCTCAGTCAATTTGACCTCCTTGTACTCGTTTAAAGTCTTTATAGACTTGATTCTTCTAACTTTCAATATAGTGTGTATATCTTCACAAATTTTGGCAGTCTTTCGGTTAACATTATAAATCTTACACATACAAAAAGTCATATTTTTTAGTGAAGTAGTTTTAATAAACTAAAATAAAGATTTGTCCATTAATATATTGAGTATTTGTTTTGAATAGTTCGTGTGCAAAGTAATTTTGTTGTTAAGATTAAAAATACTTTTCTTTCATCTCAAAAATCTCAAATTTCCTTTGGGTAATCCCTAAAACCTCCTAAAAACATTTCAAATGTTTTTTTTTTCAGTAAAACTTTATATTTAATCTGTTATTTTCTCTACCCTATCTCTATATGGGATTGGTCATTTTGGCCGACCTCGTAACCGCCAAAAAAATAACAAATCGAAATAAATCTAAATTACCATTTTTTTATTTCTAGAATGATTTCAAATTGTAACAAGAAACTACATTCATCCTAAGTAGCTTTAAGCTCGTAACAGTATACATCTATTTATAATTCAATTTCATTGTTTTATTGCCCTTTGAACCATGTCTAACTACTATTCACGCCATTATAAGTTGTAAATCACACTATTGAATTACATCTCCCTTATTCATGTGAGCAGGGTTTCATTTTATTATTGGTTTCACTAAAGTAACTACATGTTGCAACCCATGCTTTGGGTTTCATTTATAAGAAATAAATTTTTATGCAAGACTAATTGGCATATCTTCATCAAGTTAAAATTGTAATTATTAGCATTCTTAGAGTACATCTATGAAATGTATAACTTTGTACTTAATAACAAACAAACACATTGGGCTAATATACCAATTACAACTGAACTTTGCATAATTTCTGAAGTTACGTCATTGTTTCACAAGACATTAGTGTTTGAATTACTAAGAAATAATGAAAATCTATGAACATTCTTTCATTTTAGGGACAAAAGCACCATATGTCAAATAATATATGAAACCGGACTCTGATTTTTATGCAGAAAAAAGATATGCAGCCTACATTTGAAATAATGCACCATAAAATGTCTTATTATGTATAAAAGTTCTGGATTGATTATGCAACTAAATGTAAAATATGCAACCCTTACCTAAAGTAAAAACAGCTTAAAATAGTAGCATTTTAAGAGGATCTTGGACATAATTATATCAATTCCACCACCAACAGCAACTTAGCACTTACTTTTATGAAATAACAAGAACAAACATGCTTTCAGACTTCAGAAGACTTCTGACTGGTTGTTAACCAGACTGTTTGGCTCGACTTATGATTCAATAGCACAGTCATAAACAAGTCAAAAGTGTGCACTTGTTTTATGGCAAAGGCACAATGGTCTATCTCCTGTATCCACCACAAGAAATTGAACCCCATAAACTTACTACTGACCAACGTGGAGACAAGTCATAACTAAGTCAAAAGTTATAAATCAGTTAACACTGACCGAGTCTTGACTTTACAACTAAGTCTAGAAATTCAGACTTTGATTATGCAGTCAATCACTAATTATGTGGTCAAATGTATATAATGCAAAAAGTGTCGTGCATGAAAAATTGCATGAAACCCAGTCCTTGATGTAACGGTAACTACACGTATAAATCAAATCAATCTATCTGTATAAAAGTAACAATGTAACTACACTTCAAAAATATTATTTATTGTATACATATACATCATAACTCATGTCAACATTTATTTTTTAACCAATATTTTTCAAAAAATACATTAATTGAAAATACACAAAATTTCACTTTATATAGAAACATTATGGTATCTGGAAGAACACAATAAATAAAGATATTTAAGCTTTTAAAAGGTCATGAAAAACAGATACATATATTAATGGAATTCTAATATGATAAATATCCAAAAATATGGTAACTTTATCTAACCACAGATTGTCCTTATCCTCACCTATGTTTATATTCTGTATCATTTGTATCAAACGCAGACTAAAGCAACTGTGAAAGAAACAGACCCAAAATACTTCTCACCTTTATGAGCTGAGGTCTAGTTGAACACTTGAAGTGAATGGGCTGACCCAGTTGGCCATAGCTGTTAGAGCCCCAAGAATAAACATCTCCTGTAGCTAAACAGAAAACTAATAATGTGTAAAAATGTTTACCATGTTTATAAATTTAAAAAAAAACAGAAATTGTCAGTGAAGTAAAAACTCTGTGAAACATTTTACATGATCATCTTGTTTACTCTCAACTCATTTCTATCTTAAATATCATATACTTTTGCACCACATTTGAAAACTACAGAAAATGAAAGCACGTTTATGTAGGCAGGTAAAGTTAAGTCTGACAGTGGTTTCATGGAAAAACAAATTGATGACTATTCTGTTTCCTTGTTTTGGATATTTGGGCAATGCTACACAAAGGCTATCTCTCTGTGCTAACCTTTGCTAATTTTGAACTGGTAGACTGGAGAGAATGCAGCTAGTCAACAGCACCCACTGCCAACTCTTGGACTACTCTAATTGAATAGTAGGATTTAGATGTCATTCTTATAATGCACCCAAAGTTAACATTTTCCTATACCAAAAATATATTTCCAATAATACTTACCTCCTCTCACACTTTAGCTTCATCCCAATGAAAGTTTCTCTTCTCTGCCCATCTAAGCTTTGGTAGGAATCTTATCTCCTTTGCTCCAGCCTTTACACCCTACTATATTGTCCAAAGCAAGTTAAATCTTGTGATCCTCGCCAATCATGTCAACATGTCCCCTATCCAGATCCACATATAAGCTCCTCATTATTACTTCCTATTCATTTTTTGAGATGGTCAAGTTAGCAGACCTGAAACTGGTCATTTAATGGGGAGGAAGGATGGGAGCGTGTGATGGGAGGTATTATTGGAAATACATTTTAGCTAGAATCCGACATTAACAAGGTGGAGGAGCCAGTGAGGACAAGATCCACATTGAAAGCATTTGCACAAAAAAGAAATGTGTGAAAATAAGATATAGTAACAGTACACTAGTGGGGTCTGCACTAGTTCTGGAACAGGTATGCTATTCGCCTGGACAACATGAAATCTAATTCCTGGGTGGTAAAGGCCAGCTGGCCACAAAGTCAAACTCCTAACATTGTTAAAAGAACATGAATTCATTCAGGCCTCCACAAGGCAGGCAAGGTCCCACGTCTCATCATTGGAATTATAGGGCTGTGGATCCAAATACAGATCCAAGGTGTAGTGGCTAGGACATGAAGACCACCTGGAATTATAGGGCTGTGGATCCAAATCTAGATCCAAGGTGTAGTGGCTAGGACATGAGGACCACCTGGAATTATAGGGCTGTGGATCCAAATCTAGATCCAAGGTGTAGTGGCTAGGACATGAGGACCACCTGGAATTATAGAGCTATGGATCCAAATCTAGATCCAAGGTGTAGTGGCTAGGACATGAGGACCACTTTGTATTTGATCTTGTTTAGTAATGTAGTATTATTGAAACCCAACCTGAAAGTTACACAATGTTGCATGTTGAGCCACCGGAATTAAAAAGAGAAGGCAAGCAACACAAAAGTGGACAAACCCTCTCCCCAACCTGAAGAAGTGCAAAATGCAACAAACCAAACTTGGAGTTATGAGACATGTCACACCTCATTCACCTTGAAGAAATAGAGATTACCCAGCCTGGAATTATGAACCAAAATCCTAACTCCTCAACCCCTCCTGCCCCAGAATTAGGAAGAGGATGTCAAACAAAGTTCAACCAATGGCACAGGAATTGACACTTCCCATGAGAAATTATGAGGAGTCAAGGACCCTCTTCCATGATCATTGAAATGAAGATAATGACCAAAAAGAAGGGTCACGCTCAACTCAACTAGATAGTGAAGAGTCATCTCTGAATCAGAATTATGAGGAAGTTTTCGCATAAGCTGGTCCTGCTCCTACCATACATCTGGGAGAACGTCCAGAGTTATTGGTAGGAGGGCACTCAGCTTCATCCTCTTCTTGAGTGGAATAATGAGTTCAATCATCACTCAGGAGGGATAAACACCTCTGTCCACCACTCTAGCAACTGGAACTGGGAGTGGTAAGGACTCCCACACTCCACAAGGAAAAATGTGGGGTACTCTTGTTGAGGAGTCCCAAGGAATGATATGCCAGAGACAGTGCAATAGGTGAACCACATTTGCTATTTTGAAAAGCAAACCAACCCCAATTTATCCAATCTAGGGGGCAGCAGGGATGGGCAAAATCCCCTTAAGCTTTGCTCATGTTAGTCCATGAGTGGCAGTCCAGTAGTGTATTTGTCTTTGTGTTATAATTGTTTACCACCCGGAAAGCACACAAAGGTGGTCGTATGGTACACCCAATCTCAACATAGCTTGATGATACCAGAAAAATTCTTATTGGTCAACTGGTAGCTAGTGTGAATTTGGAAGGAAGCATACCTGACCAGGCAACACTCACCACTGAGTAGGATCTAAATGAAAATGACAAAAGTGTTAGTGAAGAAGAAAAGAAATAAAAAAATTACTGAAATCATTTTGTAAAACTATTACTTCAAAATTTCATTTTCTTTATTTTGTAAAATAAATAAGATATACAACAAACTCCAGACCCAAGAAGACAGATCTAAAAAAAAAAAACCATCTGAAGCATAAGTATAACCAAAGCCATTCAACACTGAAGAGAAACCCATAGCAAGCATGTAAAATTGTCAACATAATGTTCTGACATAAAAAAAAGTGAATATGAAGTAAACAAAGGAGAGCTTATATATGGATCTGGGATTGAGCACATTGATGTAGGTGGAGAGAATCACAAGATTTAACTTGCTTTGGGCTATATAATGGGGTATAATGACTAGGTCAAGCAAGGTAAGATTCAAACCAATGCTTAGATGGCAATCAAACAAGGTAAGATTCATACCAATGTTTATATGGGCAGAGAAAAGAAACTTTTGTCAGGATAAAGCTAAAGTGTGAGTGGAGGTCAGTGTGTTTCAGAAGTATGGAGCTCAATTTTGCAGCAATGGGGCATGAACCATAAATCCTAACATTCACAGTCCAGCATGCTAGCCAATAGACCACATCCAGCTTAGCCATTCAAATCACTGCAATTAATATTATTACGGTGATCTGTTAAAAGCAGTATTAAATCAATTTATATATATATGTCTTAATTTAACAATTTACAGGTGATCTGTTAAAAGCAGTATTAAATCAATTTATATATATATGTCTTAATTTAACAATTTACAGGTAAAAGTGATACACACATACCTGTCACTGCCAGAGAAAAATCCCAACCACAAGCAACGTGCTTAATGACATGTCCGTGAAGTTCTGAGATTGGGTGAAAAGTTGTTATGTGCTGTTCTTCACTACCTAATCCAAGTTGTCCCTTCTCATTGTTACCACAACTAAATGCCTGGCCATCGTCTAGTACGAATATTTTAATATAATCTCAGAAAAAATTTACTGAGAAATTTAACTAATTGTAAATGATAAAGAATACAACCTGTACACAGTAGACACTCATTAAACCACATTAATTAACATTTACAGCTCAACCTCACAGATTCTATAGTAAATCTAACTTTATTTAATTTATATGTCTAATCCTTATGTTACTGAAATACATCAATACTGAAATAGTTTGCAGAAATTTCAAGGTAAATATTCTTCATTATAAAAAAAGTTATATAAAGTTATGAGACAAGGATTAAGCATCATTGTAAGACATGTTCCATAATTCAGTTTAGGATCTCAGTTAAAAAAAACAATCATGTTTAATGTTGAAAAGCATGCACTGGATAAATATTAAGGTAGAAAAGAACAAATTCTATAGAAAGTGGCTCAAATTAGATTTTTTGTGACATTAACTTATTACATAGATTTGTTTAACACAGCAAAAATTTCCCTATAAGAGTTATTATAGGGAAATCATATAACTAAGCATGTAGGCAAGAGTTATTGCTTAGATGCTTAGTTATATGATTTCCCTATAATAACTCTTGCCTAGATGCTTAGTTATATGATTTCCCTATAATAACTCTTGCTTACATGCTTAGTTATATATTTCCCTATAATAACTCTTGCCTAGATGCTTAGTTATATGATTTCCATATAATAACTCTTGCTTAGATGCTTAGTTATATGATTTCCATATAATAACTCTTGCTTAGATGCTTAGTTATATGATTTCCCTATAATAACTCTTGCTTAGATGCTTATTTATATGATTTCCCTATAACTCTTGCTTAGATGCTTAGTTATATGATTTCCCTATAATAACTCTTGCTTAGTTATATGATGAAAATATTTACAATGAATCTTTTGAAACCTTACTTTTACACTCCACATTTTAATCTTTCATATATACTTCTCCATGATGTTAATAGTTGACAAAATCTACTAATCTTTGTCTGTAAATGAAAGCTTTAATCACACTTTTGATGAAAAAGAGTTATATTTAAAGGTTTGGGCTTTGAATTACCACCTAAAAAGTTGAGATATGGAGATTTTTTGATAAATTTTTTACATAAACTTAAAAACAGTTTGTATTTAGACAAATAGCAATTAATCCTTTAATTAAGTGTTAGAACAAAAGAAGGTTTAACATCTTTCTTTAAATATCATCCAAACAGAAAAACAACTTAACACAAGTTTGAAAAATAAGAAGCACTTAATCTGTTAAAAAAGATTAAAAATATAATAATAACAGAACTAGACAAAGGATATAGAATGGTACTATTGAGTAAAACAGATTATTTATAAAGTTCAAGATACTTTAAATGGTGAAACTAAATTTAAGAAATTAGAAATCATATGTTTGCTTGTTTGTAGTTAAGCACAAAGCTACACAATGGGCTATCTGTGCTGTGCCCACCACCAGTATCAAAACCAAGTTTCTTGCACTATAAGTCCACAGCTTTACTGCTGGACCACTGGGGGGGGGGGCAGAAATCCTATGAAAACAAGATAAATTAATTTACAAAAATATATATATTAACTTTTCATCATCTCTACCCGTATACTTACACACGATAGACTTCATCTCCACCCGTACATATACGGCAAGTACAGTAATGGAAAACTCTTTCATGGATGATAAAGGGTTAAAGAAACAAGAATTTATAGATAAAAATAAATAGTTAAGGCTGACAGGATTGCACATAGGGATTTTATATGGTTTACTTGCGTTACATAAGGAAGGATTCCAATAAGACTGACTGCATTTAATACTAGTACTTATATCATGAATGGTAAGCTGTTTTGTGAAATAAGTGCTATAGAATTTACTATTTCAGACAGTTTTCAGTTTGTGAGAGAAATACAAAAATTTACATTTTTTGGAAAAAGTATTCATTATGCTAGTTTTGATATCGAACCATTATTTTTAAATATACTTTTGGATCAAACACTCGATGTAGTTGTTAATCTGGTTTTTCTTAAGCAGTCTTTATAAAAATGTAAAACATATTTAAACACTTGTACAGGTTTATATTTCAACTATGATAGCTCTAGTCTGGATTAATTTAATTAGGATTTTAGTACATTTAGCATATAAGATAATTTTACTGGCGTAGTAACAGTACTTGATAAATGAAAGGAGTTTCCACACAATATTACAGATAAGGTTATAAAGCATTATTGAAACACACAATAAACTTCCCCAGATACAAAGATTACAGTTAACAAACAGAAAGTGATTATTTTTTTACCCATTACAGAAGCACAATGTTTTGAAATTAAAAACCTTAATTGAATACTTAGAAGGTAATATATTTTTTAGTTAATGTTAACGTTGAAACCAATATTATTATTGCTTGGGAAGGGTCTTTCAAAATTGAATACTATGGATCAAAAATCCACTTAAAACCAAGCATTTTATTATCAGTTATATATTACATTTGATTCCCAATTCCAATCTACTGATCACTGAATTCCAGACTTGTAAATGATACCTGAATTACCTTACCTAATAATAATAAGGTATGTCCTCCACCTCCAGTAACACTTGTTACAGCTGACATCACAATAGATAAATTAGTGATTTTTTGTGGGCTTCTGACATCTTCTGTATGACTTTGTCCAAGTTGACCATGACTATTGGCCCCCTAAAAAATAATTATTAATAAAAATGCTTATGAATTGTTATTCAAAAGTATTTCATATTCTTTTGAAATACAGAATAATCAGTCAAGGTTGCAATTTTTAATTTATTTGTACAAGAGCTTGTGTATACATTTAACTAGAATTTTAGAAGGATTTACAAGATAAATGCACAGTGTGAAAAAGCACATATACTTTTATTTTTGCTTTTTGAAACTAAGATTTCACTGAAAACACTAACTAACATTCTACTTATGAGGAAAGGCTTGGGTGGCATACAAACATAAGGAATAGAGTTTTGTTACAAATTTTAAAAAAAGCAAATTCATTTTTTGTGAACTGGGTAACTGAAGACCCTAATCACAATGTAGAAAATGTGTAAAAAATTGATTTTTAAATATTTCAGATGGACATGTTCTTTACTGAAAGAGAAGGTGACATCAAATAAAAATCCGGGTTGTTTCACAAAAGGTGTGAGGGATAAAATTGAAGAAAAGCATTGTACATTTAGGAAATTTAAGTTGGCTGCTATATTAAGAAACTTAAAGGAATAAAAAAAATCAAGAAGTCAAACTAGAAATTAAAAAGGGTATATAAAAATAGGTCAGTTGAAAATGTAAAAATTAATTGTAAGAATTTCATTAAATATATTAAGGGTAAGCAAAATGTTGGTATGGAAAAAAAAGAGGCCTTTCCAGGATGATAAAGAAATGCTCATATCTGATGGTTATGAGATGACTGGGTTATTAAATTCTACTTTTTCTTCAGTTTTTAATAATAAAAGTTTAAGCCATATTTCCCATCCTGAACAGTTGCTAAATAGAAACAAGCCTGGAAAAGATGATCACATTAATTCTGAGTTTGTTAGGAAAAAAATGGGAAATTTAAAGAATGACAAAGCTCCTGGGCAGATAATATTTGTGGAAGGTTTTGAAGAAGGTGAAGAATTGAATCACTTGTTACCAGAGGACTAGACACTGGCAAATGTAACTCCACCTCTCAAAGAAGGTTCCTTGTAATTATAGGTGTATAAAGTATAAGACTTACATCAGTGGTGAGAAAACTTTTTAAAAGTCTGATAAAATATGCTTTCAAAATCATTTAACAAAGTTTAAAATTTTGTTGGAGAGTCAACATGGTTTCACTAGGAGAAAATCTTGCCTTACTAATCTTTTGACATTCTCTGAAGAGATTATTGCTTATGTAGATGAGGGTATGGGTGCAGATTTGATATATCTGGTTTTTCAGAAATCATTTAATTAGGTGCACATGCTAGGTCTTATTTCATATAATTATATTTTTACTCGAGTTTGTTAGTTTTGTGATGTGCAAAAAAGTGACAATTATTAATTACATGTATATGCTATGGCACTACGTGGTTCATTGTTGTGTTACTCTGGGTGCACAGTAAGACTTCTCATGTCAGTCAAGTTCTTAGTTTTATTTATTGCTTTTCTCTTTTATAAGTTCACTAGATATATAATATTTCTACTAGCCAAGAGATCAGTTAAATATTGCCTGACTCTAAGTAACACTTTATAATTAGGATATATATTTTAGTTATATTTAATTGATGTGCCCCTAGGATCATATGTTATCTGGATATCAAAACTGGCTTAGCTGGTCATTACATACATTTGCTTGCTATCGCTTAGGGTTCAAAACAATCAAAATTTAACTAAACCAGAATGATTGAAGAGAAAGCCTATGTAAAATGTTTGTGGAAATTTTATGTAAAAAAAAAAAGACCTTTAAATATTGAAGTTTCTCTTGTGATTATTTATGCAGATCGATTAGATTTACAGTAAATTTAAAATTAATTTTGGGGATTATGAAGATACATCTGTAGTTTTGTAAAACTAGTAGTGACTAGGATGTCAGGTTCTGGATATCACATTCTGTAAGAGAGAGAAAAGTTCATGAACAGAAAGTTAATAATGGAAGATTCTTCAGTTCTTGTACAGCCCTTAGAAACTACTTTTCATCAAGTTCCCATGCAACAAGGGAGTTTCCTCATCATTATTTTGTTTTCTGATGAATTTTCAACAGAAGAAAAACACATGATTGGTTACTGGACAGATAACAACTTACCATGTCTTGGATATAATAAAGTATGGACAACAAGGGACCATTTGGTCTTCATGGCTGTTCTTGCACACCCTCCCTCCAGAAAGGTAAGAATTTAAACCCACCCTTTCTCATCCAGGAAATCAATGATTCCTTTCTTAAACTTCTGTAAAGTACTGGCCTCCACCACTGCTGATAGCAACTTGTTCTTGAGCCATTCAGCATATTAGAAAGTTAAACCTGTATCAGTTGGAGCCTAGTCTGTGTTTTATAAATTTTAAGCTTGTGTCCTCTAATTATAGTGTTCAGAACAAAGCACAAAAAAATCAAGCCTTCATCATATTAATACTCCCAGATATACTTGGAAACTTCAATAAGGTCACCTCTTACAAGAGATGTTAACTTGTCTCTATGAGATCATCATGGTAGCCCTTCTCTGAATCCTTTCCAGCAAGTCACTATCCTTCTATAGATAATGATATCAAAACTGTACACAGTATTCCTTGATCCAAGTCCTTCTGTACTAGCTAGGAATATTCATGTTTAATGTCATCTGCAAATTTTCTAATTATGTCCCTATCAATATTACTAATGTAAATATAAAAAACAGCAAACACCTAAGTACTGAATTCCAAGGTTCTCCATTTGTAACAAGGGTTCAGTTTGACTGGACTCTGTTAATTAATAACATTTGGCTTTATTTCATCCAAACACCATAAAATTCAGTTAACAAGTTTTCCCCCAACCTTTATTGATATGATATTCTTAGAGTTAGATAATCTTTCACTTGACATCTCATCAAAAGCGTTTCTTTCTTTTTTTTTGAAAATGTATATACACCAATCCATATCATTTTCCTTGTCCAGATAATAATTAAGCCCCCCCCCCCAAAAAAAAATATTAGTAAGGCAAGATCTCTTATTAATAAAATGCATGTTGATTTTCATTTGTGGTATTTGACAAAGTAAATGATTTTGTAAAGCTTCTTTTATCATACTCTCTCTAGAAGTAGCAGAACTTTTCCCACTACAGAAAAAATAAGACTACCTGGCCTGTACATTAGGCCACAATATGGCTGAACGTATATAAATATAATTTTTAGGTTTAGCATATGTAATCGTAAATGCCTTTTATTTTAGTTTAGTATAGTGGGATAGCCTAGATCAGTATCAGTAGATGAACCAACAGGTCCCTTCTTGATCTTAAATTGCATGAATGTATGTATAATATATGCTGTTCTACGTCTAACCTATATTTTCAAATCTGTACATGATAAAAGAAAAAACGTAATTAACCAATGTGACACTGACGGAAATAACAACCTCAAACTAAAACTCACGTCCAATCATCCAATATCTTGTTAACTTAGTTTTACAAATTACTAGTGATATTATTTAATTCCAATGATTTAAAGTTTACTATTATAAATGTAATTTTAAATGTTAGTCCTCTGATTTCATGTCGACAATGTTCGATATGCAAATATTAATGTCAAAAAGCCAATATTTTGAGAACCATGGGAAACCGGTATTTTACCATGTCGGTTTCTACACAGAAAATATAATCGAACAAAAGTAAATTATCAAAATTAGAAGCAAAAGAATATAATTCTAAGATCTTTTCCTACCCAGCTCACAACTTCGATGCGCTGCGCCATTAGTTTGAACGTATCGTACTAGTGAACTACAATTTTAATATTAGATAATTATTTTATAGAAAAAAAGAAACAATCAAAGGTCTATATATAAATTTAATAAATATGTGAGACAGCGGATTATACATTTATTTTGTTACGGTTTTATTTATTATCATTTAGTACAACTGTGAATTTTTTGTTATACTAATGGGCTAACTCATCTTCTAGCTAGAGCACGTTGAATTTGGGTATGTTTTGTATAATGAACCAGACACAAGCTTCCCCTCGAGGTGACGTACAGATATTAATATTGTGAAAGATTATGCAAATTTATGGTAACAGCTAGTTAAGTGAGATGTGAACTCATGGTCTAACCACTAAATAAAAAGCTTTTCTTGATCTTGAAAACGAGTTAGTTCACGATATATAGTTAGAAAGAATTATGGCTGATTATTTCTCGATATTGTTCTTCATATTGAAAGTGGTTTAATTTTCGAACATTCTCTGGTAAATTAGGTTTTTATTTTTCTGGTTCTTTTTCGTAATTTCTTTGATATTTAATGAAATTAATAATATTGAGATTTCGTTGTATTGTTTATTAATATTTGTACCTACTTACTGGCCAGGCACATACTAATTCTTTTGTGATAAAATTTGTATTTTAATTGTTTGAAAGTTTTTCTTTGGATTTTTTTTTTTTATCTATATGAATATAATAGTACTGTCTGTTGTATGTCCATGTAAGTACTTCGCAGGGTGTGGATGGATCTTCACCAAAATTGGTATGGAGGTTCATGGGGAGATACTTACAAATTTTCGTTTTTGCATTTCGCGTTTTGGGGTTTTTATGGGCGTTTTTGCGTTTTTTAACCACTACTTCACCCCTGTTGGTGAATCTTCTACAAATTTGGCATGAAGGTTTTTGAGTCCATGGGGGGGATACATACAAATGTTCATGTTATTAGTGGGCCAAACGTTCTACTCTCCTTGCTAATCCAAGATATGCCACAGGATTAAGAATTAATAATTAGTAAATCTTACTTTTCCTGTATTCTTTCGTACCATTAATGTTTCTGTAATAATCTTTTTTTTTTGCTGTTGTTGTAATGCATGCAATTTATTTAGGATATATTGTTGCGTCAGCGAGGTCACGTGACTAGTATCACGCCACTCCTTCTCGAACCTTCGTGAATTGTCGGGAGTTTACGAGATTGGGGGTAGTCTGGTATGTATACGACGCTCACAACGTGACGGAAGAGGTGAATGAGTAATTGAATTGCAGTCAGAGAGTGTGTAATTGAACTGAGTATTATTGAAGTTGAGCGCGACTGTTGAAATTAAGTGGATTGCAAAGTTATATTCAGAAAGAATAAACCAGTTTTATTTAAGAAAGGACTTGTGTCGCTAAAGTTTTGTCGGAACAAATTTACGGAAAATTAACTAACGAACAGAGACGTAACAATATATATATATGTAATAATAAACAGATGTCTTCCTGTCTGTTATGTTCTGGAACTCCTAGACGGTTAATCATAGAAAAATAAAATTAAAATGCTTATTTTGAAGAGTGCAATACAGGAAAATTATTATTATTATTTGCAATTCCTAATATGTCATGTTCACATCAACATTGGTCTGTCAGTCTTGGTATGTGCTGAACTGTCAGTCAGAGAAAAAAACAACTTATTAAGAACAAAAATGTTTCTTTTAATGAGGGGCCTTATAGATATGACAACTTTCGAAATGTGCTCACTCGATAGTGGCCTTTTCTTGCACTCTGTAAAATGACAAGTAAGGGTGGCATCCAAAAGAAAATATTCCCGTGGCTACTTAGCGAATCTGAGTGCTCTGTTGTACTGGATGCACCCATTGCATCGAAGCCCACCCAACACAATTTTCATTATTGAAATAATATGAGGAATGACAAAAGACGGTTATAAACGGCCCATTAGACAATCATATTGCATATATGCTCTGATCCAATGTATTCAGTTGACTGCACTTTTTTATATCTTCATCACAAATTTTAGGAAAATTTACGTTCAGTTGTTTTCAACGGGCATCTGCTAGTTTTATTTGAATAACATATCTTATGCATCCTTAATTCTAAAATTTCTTTTGAAATTATTATGATAAGAGGCCGAGCACAGTGGTTATTGATCTGGACTTGAGTTCTGTGAGTGCATTAGAAGAGTAACGGTCAAATCACAGTATTTGGGCAATCAAGGGTCTCACAAGAGTTGGCGGTTAGTGCTATTGACTAGCTGCCTTCCCTCTGATCTGTCAGTTCAAAATTAGAGACAGCTAGCACATATAGCTCCTAAATGGCTTAGCGCAAATATATATTTAAAAAAGAAGCCGCAGTGGCTAAGCGGTAAGTCTGTCAAGCTACAATGCTTAAACCCTGGTTTCGATACTAGTGGTGGACACAGCACATAGAGCCCATTGTGTAGCTTTGCGCTTAACAGCAAACAAACAAAATAAAAGAGAAGCCCCAGTGGCTAAGCGGTAAGTCTGTCAAGTTACAATGCTTAAACCCTGGTTTCGATACTAGTGGTGGACACAGCACATAGAGCCCATTGTGTAAAGTTGTATTCGGAAAGAATAAACCAGTTTTATTTAAGAAAGGACTTGTGTCGCTAAAGTTTCTTCGGAACGAATTTACGGAAAATTAACTAACGACTGGAGGCGTAACAATATCTTTATAATGTAATTTTAATTTTTTTGTTTAAGCTAAATGTTAGAATTTGTAAAGAATAAATATAATAATAGCATTGATTAATATAATAAATATTTTCCAGTTAAAATATAAAATATTGTTAATTTTTCGTTCTGCAATTTCTCAGCCGTAAACTTGAGGGCTTATAATGCTAAAATCCGGAGTATGATCTGTGCTTGTTTAAGTCGTTTATAACTCCCCAGTGACTCAGCGGTACGTCTGAGGGCTCACGCCACTAAAACCCGGGTTCGATACTCGTAGTGGACACAACACAAATAGCCCATTGTGTAGCTGCTTTGTGCTTACCAACCAACAAACAAACAAAAAGGTGTTTTTTATATAAAATTGTTTGTATTTTATAACACATAAAGCTTTAATTTGTGTTTTAGTAGTTTGCTTGTTTGTTTTGTTAAGCACAAAGTTACACAATGGGCTAACTGTGCTCTGCCCACCGCGGTTTCGAAACCCAATATTTAGCGCTTTAAGCCTGCAGACTGCCGCTGAGCCACAAGAGGGCATCTGTAATTAGGATTCGCGTTTCGTATCATTTCCTGCATGTCAGATATGGACCCGGTATTGCCTGGTGGTTAGAACGCTTGACTCGCAACCTGAGAATCACGAGTTCGAATTCCCATCACCGTACATGCTCTCTCTTTCAGCCATGGGGACGTTATAATGTAACGGTTAGTCTCACTATTCGTTGGTATAAGAATAGTCAAAAAGGTGGTGTGGGCTGGGTTGACTAGCTGCCTTATTTCTAAGCTATCACTGCTAAATTAGGGACGGATAACACAGATAGCCATCGAGTAGCTTTTCGTGAAATTCAAAACAAAACAGATTGTCAGATACACAATACCGTGTATATTAGCTAAATCAGCGTAACAAATAAACGACACTTTTGAAACAAAATAGTACAAAGACAAGTAAACTAGTGTTACGACAGCCGAAATCTCGCGACTCTGGTAACACGTAATGAGTATCTAGACGGTTCCTGAAGGCTCGAGATGCCCTCTATTTTGTATATATAAGGTCGGCGAGAAGTAACGGGATGGATAGATGATTGAATACCAGATAGGGAGATAGAGACAGATAATCGAGTAAAGCCGTAAGCAAAGTGCGCGAATCGTCGTGAATTATAGCGTGTGTTTAAGTTAAAGTGACTGTGGAAATTAAATGTATTGCAAAGTTGAATTGAGAAAGAATAAACTAGTTTTATTTAAGAAAATGCTTGTATCGCTGAAGTTTCTCGGAAAGAATTTCTACAATAAAAAAAATTAGCAAACGACCAGAGACGTAACACTAGTTTCTATATTTTCAGGCAGCCTCTTTATTTAGGAAGGAAGTGCTATGGAACGTTATTTTTACAGAGGTTTGTCAGAAGAGTCGTGCTGGACTCGAATTGTTAGTTTCAATTTAAAAGGTTTGAGGAGAAGAAAGTACGTTTGTGTCCGCCATGGAATTGTAGAGTGTTTTAACTATTATGAGATGCTATATTGTTTTCTCTAACTATTATGGGATGTTGTAGAGTGATTTTTCTAAAACGATTATGGGATGTTATAAGATGATTTTGTAACTATTTGTAACAGTTTTTCTTTCTTTTTGTTCATTTTATGAACTGAAATTTTCACTTTATATGACGCACGAGCTAGATCTAGATTTTAAGGATAGCCAATAATCGTCCCTAATTTTGAATAACTGACTAGAGCGAGCCAATCAGCAACATCAGAATGCCAAATTAGGTCTTAGTCTTAGAAGATAATTATGAACCTCGTAAGTTTGTGATGTAATTGCGTTGTAATGCTAAGTCATTAAATAAATAACTTTGGGAAAAGTTAATACTCAATATTTAGATTTAAGTCGATTTTGTAAAAAGAGTTCAAGAAATGGTACCTTTTGCTTGCTGTTTCAAGGGGTATCATACAGTTGTTATTTGGATATAGTTTCTCCTGTCTTGAAACTTTGAAAATAATGTCAATATATTCCATAAGAAATACTTCGGTAATCAGTAAGTAAACTCAATAAATGGCAATTTGTTGGTATTGTTGAATTTCACGTAGGGTTATCTCCACTTATAGACTAGAGACAAGGTCAACACCACTCATTGTAAACTCTTGGGCTACTCTTTACCAACGAACAGCAGAATTAACCGTCAATACTATAACGCCCCTACGGCTTACAGGACATGTTCGGTGACGGGTTTCGATCCCGCGAGTCTTGTGCCCTAACCATCAAGCCATGCTAGGCTGATTAAATGATAGTGATAATATCGATATATACAACAATGAAACGATTATTAAGCACAACATT